TTTTTTTTTTTTTTTTTTTTTTTTTTTTTTTACCCGGGAAACGGGTTTGTTTTTTTTTTTTTCCAAAAAAAAAAAAAAAAAAAAAAAAAAAACCAACGTTTTTATTTCATCAATCTTTTGTATAATTTGGTGGGTCTCTATATCATTTAGCTCTGCTCTGCTCTTAATTATTTCTTTCCATTTACTAACTGTGGGATTGTATTGTTCTTGTTTTTCTAGTTCTTTGGGTTGTAGCATTAGGTTGTTTATTTGAAATCTTTCTTTTTTTTAATATAAGCACTTATTGCTGTAAAATTCCCTTTTAGCACTGCTTTCGCAATATCCCACAGGTATTGACAGGATGTGTCTTTATTTTCCTTGGTTTCTAGAAATTTTTTGATTTCCTGCTTAATTTCTTCTTGGACCCATATGTCATTCAGGAACCTGTTCTTTAATTTTCATGTATTGGTACAGAGTTCAGAGGTTTGCTTGTAATTGAGGTCAGCATCATCTTGATACTATAATGAATATACAATAAAAGAAAACTACAGGCTAATATATCTTATGAACAAAGACACAAAAATCTTCAAAAAAGTGTTAGCAACAAAAATACAGCAACACATCAAAAAAATTATACACCACAATCAAGTGGGATTCATCTCAAGAATGCAAGGATGGTTCAACATATACAAGTCAATAAATGTGACATACCACATCAACAAAATCAAGAATAAAAACCATATGATCGTCTTGATAGATGCAGAAAAAGCATTCAACAAAATTCAACATATCTTCATGATGAAGACTCTCAGCAAATTAGGTATACAAGGAAAGTATCTCAACATAATAAAAACCATCTATAACAAGCCCACTGAGAATATCACACTAAATGGGGAAAAACTAAAATCTTTGCCCTAAGAACAGGAACAAAACAAAGATGCCCACTCTCATCACTCCTATTTAACATAGCATTGGAAGTACTAGCCAGAGCAATCAGGCAAGACAAAGAAATTAAGGGCATCCAGATTGGGAAAGATGAATTCAAACTGTCCCTGTTTACAGATGA